TATTTTTAATACACCCATTTCTCATTGAAAACACACCTTCTGGGCACAGTGGTCAATATTTGTGTCAATTAACTCAAATAAGGAATAAAAACAAGACAAATACCAGCAAACCAATACATGGGAGAGTATGCTCTGCATTTAAAGTCAATGAACGGTAACAAAGTATTCCAGTTTGCAAGACATGATTTAGACAAAGTTCAGTTTGATGATTTAAATTTCAACAAATTCAATTTTCAATGACTTACACTGACCAAGAATTATTAATACCTTGAAACGACACCAATATTTTGTTGAAATGATGACACACAGAGGCTTTATTTTCAAACAGTTCTTCGGTAAAATTTTATTTGCCATGTTGGTTTATTACATTCATAAGTGATGAATTACATGCATTTTGTAAGGTATGCTACCCAGAGTTCCTTGCACATAGCAACACAAAGATTGTTGCCCACAATATGTTGCGATATGTATCATGATACAGACCTATGTATAGTAATACAAAAATTTTGGAAATACCTAGCTGTATCAATCAATGATAAGAAAAAACAAGCATTGCAAGGAAGTAGTTTTTATATACGTCATTCATGATAATTATACATAAGCCACAATTAAATCTAAAAATACTACATCATTTTTACTTACAGAAAGATCAAATGAGGTCACCATGACTGGCACTAACAGATCAGCTTAAAAAAAACATATTAATTGATAATAATTAGTTTAACTTGCTTAGTTTTGGTTTATTTTCCCATAGAACTGGATTACGGTTTTATATACTCTTAACACAGAATCTTCTAAAAACTTTAGAAATAATTCCCATGTTTTAAAGATGAAGTTGAGCTGATTAATAAACTTGATTTATGTGAAAATCACTGACAACTATCCCTAAAATACGAAAAATACTGAAAGTGATAAATGTGAAAAAAGCAGCTTTACTAGTCAGTGCACACCAACAAAAACCAGGAACATGTTTCTGACTACTACATCTTCTCTCTGAAGTAAATTTATAACTTATAAACAGGAACTGTACTAAAGTGGGAATTACCTAAACATCAGTCTTTGTGTCTTATTCAAAAAACTAGGGATCTAAAAGGATAACAAACAATTATACTTATCATAAGATATTAATATTAGGCCTATTAGAGTCTTAAACAAAGCATTCTTTATCATGTTCCTTGGAGATTTTCAATAAAATAATTAGATGAATGTATAATAATAGTATTCCAACTACACTCTGCTCATCATATCAGTTGCTAACAACGCGTTAATCTCTATCCATACCTCATAAGACTGGCCGGTATACAATATGGTTCTTGTACAAGTTATTTGTTACAATAACAATTGGTATTGTGTGAACACCTTTTCCAAATTGGCGATACATAATTCTAATTAATTCTACTGGTCCGTCATAAGACATTAGTATTAGGCCTAATAGATTTTTAGACACTGGATTCTTTAACTAATCTCTTAGGATAACAGTTCCAGACGTAGACGCGTAATGAAAGTTCTGTTGTTTTATTCTAGTGTGTAAAAAAGAGAGCTAATTTTTTAGATTAATGTGATTTCATATTATTTAGCTTTTAGCATACGATTTTGAATCACAACTTGTAAAACGTAAGGTACATTAATCGGTCTTTAGTTTCAAACGCAGTGTAGCTGAAGTTTTAATTTATAACTTTTTGTTGTTGTTTTAAATTTATCCAATCATGATGTCCTGTCCAGTTCTGATGGTCGACGAGACGACGACTGTTTTTTTCTTTTCTTTTATAATCCTCTTTGCCTGCACGAACTCTACTAATTCAACTTTTAAACATTCAGTTCATTTTCTAATGTTATCGAGCTAAGGGTCTCACTGTCTGCTGTTCGGTGTTCATCACAAACCATCTGTCCCCGAGATCTGATTATATGCCCAGAATATGACATATTCTGTTTACTACAGTATTTCCAGCAGTTGTTTTTGCACGTTTCAGTACTTCATTAATTTTCTTACAAAGGCAAAAATATCACACAAAAAAATGGTGTGACGCGAACTAACTGCTTCATAATGCACTTAATAATTAACCTCACAGTGTAATAAAATACTAGAAATTTACTGTTTTATGAATTTCGTAAACGTGTGAGGTGCGCCATCTAATAATATGGGCAGGTTAGATGTTTAATAATACATTAGATAGACGTATGATACATTAATAAGCATTGTATTAATTGTAGCAGAGGAAATACATAATTTATAACCGAGCACGATAAAGAATGATGGAATAAATATTTATTTGAGGTGTAATTAATATTGTAATATTATTATACGCATGAGCATGCCACGCACACACTATATTAAATTTCAAATTAGGGCCGTGAAGTAGATACGTCATTGTCCATTTTTTTTAAGATAAGTGTCGCATAATTAAAATAAATGTAGCACAAACTTGTATATTATTATCAGACGACTAAGTTAAATACAGACTATCAGTTATATTAGATAAAAGAATATAGACAAGTGAAAATAGGTAAGGTTAGTCTTTTTGTTATAGTAATTAATACCTGATACTGTAAGTTGTAACTTTATTTTTTTTAAGTAATAAACATTTCCTCTTCTTACACCTACAGATTTTTATGATTAACATATTATTATTATTATAATACCGGATCGTTATTTTTTACTTAGGCCTACTTGTACATGGCGCTGAATGCACAATGTATTTTAAGCAGTTTATTGAAAAAGATGATTAAAAAAATCATCAGCGCAGTACTACAGTAATATCTAGTTGAGTTATGATACATAGTATTAAACTAAAGACAGGCATGTTTAATAATTTAACGTGTTGGAGGCTCGTGTACAGGCCCAGTGGCTATAGCTATACATCATAATATACTTGGTATTTTTGTCAATATTTGTTAAATATTAAAAAGAAGTACATTGCCGTCTGTTATGTCTAATCGTACTGGCAAAAAGCCTTGTCAATTCTTGGTGTAGTAGGTGTAATGTGTTTGACATATTATTATATACACGTTTTTTTTTTACTTCACTCAGAACTTCTTGATAATTATTTTATCAAAATAATTATTGCTGTAATTGCTGTTGCATTTGTTTTTTTAATTAGGAAGTTGGGTTTAATAGGCTGATTTCTAAACAAAGATTTCTGGTACTCCTTTTTTTTCTTCTTCTTTATTCTGAAGATAGATCTGAACTCCTTGCGATATCTGGAATCTGAATCGCTCACCAGTGTGGCTGAACCTTACTCTCAACCAAAATTACACGCAGCACAGTATTGGCTGCACATTATACAATATAAGATTGAATTTCTCAGCTTTATACAGCCATTTTGGCGAGTTCTGTCGATAGAGATGACCGAGTAAGGCTCAACAAAACTAAGTGTGATAGTTGTTTGAACATAAACGCTTCCTTTTGTTATTGGTTCTAACTTGAAACCGTGACACCCCACCATGGCCCACCCATTCCTCCAAATTTGGTCTCACCGATTCACAGAAAGGGTTTTAAAGTAAAATGATTGTGTATCTTCAAACATCCGGTTTAAATAGGTTGAGGAGAACTTGTATTGTTTGAAATTGCACTATCCATGTGACGGGATTATAGTTTTATTTACCTCGTATGAACAAATTTCACATTAACAAATATTGGAAGACTGACAGGCCCAGTCTTGTTGACAGAAACTTCCAGTACTAACAGTTATTAGCAACTGACAATTTGCCGGTAATTTTGAAGATGTGTAAACAAGGACTTCAGAATTAAATCATCTAAAATTTTACATGATTAACTGTGAATTACTCGTGAAATATTGACTTCAATATGGCAAATACGTACACTAGATATTGATGGGAATAATAAGACTGAACAGTGTATCAAAATGCATGTTCATTTTCACGTATTAATGTTTATACAGTGAAACCTGTGTGGTCTTTTGCTTGTAATTAGAAGATTATCGTTATTACCTTTTAATATATTTGTAAATAGGCTCGTATATTATAAGTTTTGCAAAATTTAAAAACAACGTAAAAGCTCTTTTCTTGAAGAAGGTTTTATTTTTGTGACGATAAAGAGACCACTTTTAAAAAGTGCATGAGCTTTTGGGATATTTTTTATGATATATTTCTAGTAATCAAAGGTGCTATCGTTCATCAAAATGACATAGGTGAAGCAACCACCTAAAATAGTTTCCTGATAACATTGTGGTGCCCCTGTAACTATAAATAATGGCAGAAATTTGACTTGGACCTTGTGTTCTGGTGATTCATGCATGCGCAGCAATCTATAAGTAAACAAAACCAAAACCTTTTTAGTTACCATTGGCTATAAAGCATATTTTGTGTGAAAAGTCTTTCAACACTTGAACTAGTTTTGTCGGTAATTTTTAAAAGAAGCTAAAGTTCGCATATTTATTTGCCCTCTAGTGACCAATTTGAATAAAAACATAGTGGTTGCAGTAATTAATTTTATGGTACGTTTTGTTTAAAAAAAATTGTGGGTATAAATATAATATATTAAATGCAACAGTGAAGACATTGTAGGTATTTTGAATCTCACTCAGGTTCAACTTAGTCTGTTAAATTTTGTCAGTGTGAAAAAATACAACTGAAATGTTTAGAAGCAGAGTTGGTAGAGGGAAAACAAGACAAGTCTGGGGGATTCTTTGGATAAAAGTCTCTTATTTATTTGTGCTGCTTTCTGAAGACAACAGGATGAAATGACACCAACTTAAGATTTAAAAGAGACATGTTAGGCTCCATTTATGGCAGTTTTTATTGTTCTACTAAGTTGATTAGATTAAGCAATGAGTTGCTGTTAACATTATTGTAATTTGGCACTTTAAGGGAGTTTAAAAGAAAAATATATGAATTCTTGAAAAATAAAGGGTGGGTTTAATTTTTTTTTCTTGTCTTTAACCATGGTGTCCAAGGACAGATTGCAGAACCAAACTGCTGTGTGGATTTACACCAGAAGAGTTATCTTTGAGCTTGTTTTTTTTTTTCTTCTCACCTTTCAGGGATTAAGTGTCCAGTGTGTTCCAGGTTTGTGATTCCTGATGATGTGGAATACCATCTGGTGATGTGCTTGACCAAGCCAAGGATTAATTATAACGGTAATTCTGACCTTACTTTTCAACTATTTTTATATCCACCAAATATTACAATAAAATAATTTCAACAATGTTACTCCTAATTATATATATATTTTATAGGAATAGCGGAGACGGTAGTTTAAACTGTAATTATTTTTAGATAGTTTGTGTTTTCTAGTCTTAGGATAAAGTAAGTATTTAATAGGAGAAAGACAGTTTTTTTCCCTTAATATATTTATTATTTTGTAGTTAATCATAGAGTTATAAAGTGCATAAAAAAAAAATATTGAAAGACATTTTAAGACTAATTGATTTAAAGCCTGTTTCGCTGAGGACATTGAATTTACCCAGCCTATTCTCCATTTTGTATTTTCTTACTATGATTATTGTCATTTACGTTAGGCCAGCTTTTCATGCATTTGTATGGGAAATAGGTGTTTTTGCAATACCCGTTTCTTATGTACTTATCGAAAGGTTTTACGAAGATCTTTGGATTTTGGTGATTAGCTTATATAATTGTGACATTAGGTTAAAAAAAAAAATATAGGTTAGGGGAAAAACGTGTTGTAGGTTCTCAAAAATGAAAGTTTTGCATAAGCCAAGTATATTCCATTAATCATAACAAAGTAATATTGATTTATACAAAACAAGCTTAAAGACCTAAAATATTTTATACAAAAATAAATAATTTGTTAGTAGAGCATAATTTGACTCTGTGTGTGCGTAATTTAATGAACTAAAGATTTTTCCACATTTATATCTGTAAATCAAGTATCTTAGTTCAATCTCTACCCCGTGTATTTGACAAAAATATACGACGGAATCTACTAAGTGGATTTCCCTTCCAACATAGTGTATCAAATTTTAAGGTTTTTTTTCCTCGGAGACTGTAACCAACACATGTGTATCAGTATTGTAATAGAGTGTAGAAGTGAAACTTTGAAAACAAGTAAAAACAAACACTTTTAATTGTTGTTTTTCAGAGGATGTGTTGTCAGAGGACAAAGGAGAATGTGTAATATGCTTGGAAGAGCTTATTCAAGGAGACACCATTGCTAGACTCCCGTGTCTTTGTATATACCATAAAGTGTAAGCTATCCATTCTTTTAGTACACATGACCTTTATCATTTTCATTGTCTAAAGATTGTTAGTCATAAGGTAAAGAATGTGGTGTGGAGTTTAACCAGTTGTATTGGCCATAAGACAGTAGTATTAGGCTTATTGTATTTTTTTTAACACCATATTCTTTATTCTGTCCCTTATGGTTTTTCCTGACCACTACTATGTTTGTTGTTTCTGATGAGCTCTTGGCAATGGGCGTGGTGGACATAGTGTGGTTAAAATACTATTTTTTGAAAAAATAAAGAATGTAGTGTTAAAAATACACTTAAAAACAAAATGTATTTAACAGTTTTAATTCAACTAGAATCTTTTTCTGTAAAAAAAAAGCTTACACTCAGTTCTTAGATCTACTTGATTGAAATTAGTTTTAAGAAATCTGTTAATCTCACAAGTATTTCTTCAGAAATAATGTCAGATGAAGAATAAACACGCAGGTAATACATAACTGTTGCTCCTGTAAAAGTAAGTTTACAAAACCCAAACAATAAAAGAGAAATATATGTGACCAATCAGAAGCTATGCTCAGTTGAGGACAAAGACATCAAATGTAGTATAATATTCTTTTGAGAGGAGAATTTTCTCTGTCCTGCATACTTTTATCTCTTACTGTAAAAGATTAAAGTGATTAAATGCAAAAGAAGTATTTAACGTTACGTTGAAGTTAGTTATTAAATGCAGTATTTCTTTTTACAAACATTATTTGTCGTACTGATGAAACTTAAAGCTGTACATTATCAGCTAGAAAAGTTTGAATAATAACAAGCATCTTGACATTTTTGTTCAACTGTGTGGACACTTCTAGTCATATAGAAATACCAAGTTGATCAGTACAATTAATTAACTGTGATTATCTTGAATATAATGTTAATTTGAAGCTACACTTACTGTTTTTTCAGTGATCAAATTAATAATTATTATATGCCTGCTTATATACAGTAGTATTATCATTTACCTACCCTACCCACCACGATTTTATTAAATGTTTCATTTCAGTTAAGTTGATTCTGTGTAATCCTTTAAGGGTTTTATTTTTGTTAAGAAATCTTAGGTACCTACCTTTGCTTTTAACATGAATAAATACAAAAGTAGACTGAATGTCTTTAAAATAAAATGTTTCTTTTTTTTCCAGCTGTATTGATGTCTCTTTTTTTCTGGCTGTATTGATGTCTCTTTTTTTTTTTCCAGCTGTATTGATGTCTTTTTTTTTTCCAGCTGTATTGATGTCTTTTTTTTTTCCAGCTGTATTGATGTCTTTTTTTTTCCAGCTGTATTGATGCCTGGTTCCAAGTGAACAGATCTTGTCCGGAACACCCAAATGACTGACAGAGAAACTTATTCTTCAAAGCACGAATCTTATGCAAAGATGGCTTAGTTCGAACTGTGTATGTACTACTAACTACTGGGGAACACTCAAAATGCAAGAACCAGTGTGAAAGATTCGTGGATGGATATCAAGCGTGTGTCTTTAAACAGTTAGTAAGATTATTGTTTCCCCATACCACTGTATTAGCTGAGTAAGTGGTACAAGAGCTCTGTTGTAATCGCAAGGTTCGTGTCTCTGATAAGTGTATATATATATATATCACTAGTTTGTCTAAATAACGTTGTGCCTTTCTGTAAAGTAGAAAAGAAAACAGTCCCACGGTTGTCTTCTTTAGGGTGTGTAATAGTTCCCGTATTTCCCCATCTTTCACAAGAAGTCTCTCTAGTTTTATATACACTCTAGTGCGGTTAACAAAACAAAAGGACTGGTTTTGTATACTATCTAGTATTTTATTCCCACTTGTACAGACCTATATAGAAAAATTAAACCGATAATTCTAATGTAACTTTTTTTTTAAAGGTTTTTGGGGACATCATTTTTAAACAACTAAAAATTATATATTCTTGTTGTAGTTCCATGCAATAGATGGTTTTATTACAAATAAAGTTAAAAAACCCACACGTGATTTGCTGGAAAAGTATTTGTTCTGTTGATGGAACTCGCCCAGTGGTGGTATTAGTATTTTTGGCCGATTATACTACCAAAATAAAACATTTTTTTTTTTACTGCAGGTCGGATTTTTTTAAGGTTTATTGTATAATGATGACCAGATTACTGCTTAATATTTTTTTAGAAAGCTTCTTTTTAGGTAATTAGAATGTTTTGTTTCGTATTCAAAGTAATTAAAATATGAAGAATTAATTTTTTTTATGTAAATAATATAAATATGCTAAAACATTTATACTTAGAATGTTTTACACTCAAACCTAAGCTAAGTGTTAATAAGGCACCTTTTTGAAACTTTTGGGCCAAATGTTGATAAATTTACTTTATGAACATTCCAATGAAAGGAGTGTTACTACAACCTTTTTTTTTTTGTTCAAGAAAATTGCCTTCTGAAACCTAAAAAACAACCATAAAAAAAACTATACATTTTTAATAGAACATTACTGTCAGTTCCCATAATTTGTTTTTTACGTGTTTATTTATGACAGCGTTTTATTAACATTCTCATGCATTGAGTATTTTGGAATAAATTACACAAATAACCCTTAATGTATAACCCTGTATGAAATCCTTGTAGCTATCATTTATAACCCATTGGACTTGCAGAGATGCTTTGTGTAAATTTTACACTTTTATCACTGTAGCTTTTGAATAGTTAAACATGTGATAATTTGTTTTTGTTCTTTTGTGTTGATAACATAAATATTTAAAACTTTAGCTGGGTATTTGTGTTGAGACTAAATCTAATACTTAAAGCTCTGGCTTGGTGTGAATACTGAATCACTAGTATTTGTAGCTATGGCTTGGTGTGAATACTGAATCACTAGTATTTGTAGCTATGGCTTGGTGTGAGTACTGAATCACTAGTATGTGTAGCTATGGCTTGGTGTGAATACTGAATCACTAGTATTGTAGATATGGCCCAAGCCTGTGACTTTGAAATGGCTAAAAGACAATAAAATATTTAAACGTTATACATTTTATCAGTATCATCAGGAGGTTCAGTTAGAATACAACTGATATTGAGGTAATAATATAGATATTGAAATGCGAGTCTAATGGGAATGATATATGTTTGATTTCTAAATTAGTCTTTCAATTATAGCAAAAATCTTCTCTGGGTGATATTGTACTACAATATGATAGATACAGTTTGTGAATATTCAAATACTCAACCCACAGGAGACAGTAACGATTGTTAAATTTTTCAAAAAGTCGCTGAGTGTTGTTGGACACGTAACGTGCTTCTTTGTTTAGGTTTAAGTCAGTAAAGAAGTAATATTGTATCACTTTTTATATTGCAATTTAATTTAAACTAAATTAGAGAGTCTGTAACCTATGTTACCGAGTCTTTCCCAACAGTGTACGAATCTCTATTCAGTGTAAGTCGAAAAGTTGCTCTAACCAATTTGATTTCTTGGAAGATGGACAGCCTTCATTTCCTTTTCTAAATACATAGATGTGCACCAGGTGTGTTACAGCAATTACAGATCTGGTGTTAACATTACTATCTTGATAATGTATAAATGAAGTTTTAGTAAAATCTGTTACCAACCTGTTCGGCCCAACTTGTTTGTCCCAGTGATAAGCCTCCTAGCTTATTAAAAACTGAACACCAACTTTAGACAGATATTATATTTGTTATTGCTGGCAGTGATTCTGATGTCCAGTCAGAAATGGTCACTAGCGTTGGATCGAAACCTCACTCATTATCAACAGTGGTTCTACTTGCCCACTCAAAAATGACCACCAACTTTGGATTAAAATCCAACATGGTGAAAGCAGTGGTTCTGCTCGCAGAGCGAAAGATGACAGTAAATATAGTTACTGCATAGACAAAAAGATACAGAAATTAAAAATGGCAAGGAACTTTGGATTTAAATTCAACTTGTTGTCTTCAGTGATTCTGTTTTCCCAGTCAAAAATGACTATTAATATTGGACAGAAGTAAAAAAAACTACTACATGTACTTGTTTTTTCAGTGTAAACATCTGAAATATTTATTTGTTTTTGGCACAAACTTCATTAGTGGTAGTGTTAAATAATTGAGTCTTGTCAGTAAAAAAAAAAAAAAAGAAGTCTTTAAATCACTGAACAAGCTAGTTAAATAGGTTCATGTTTTGTAAAAAAATGGCTTTATTAAGCAAAGCGTGAGTAATGTTATTCAGTTTAAGTTTTTGTAATTTATAACATAAAGTTTGTTGCTTTCATGTTTTTTTTATGATATGTATACTTTTATTTTTTAAGTATGGCTTTGCCTTATGCTCCAAAGCATTATGACCTTTATACCAGATTTTTTAAGCCAAACTTCGTGAGGCATACAGCTTGATATATATCCGTCAGTTAACAAATTATGTTGGTACAGACTGACTTGGATGCATGTGATTTTCAATACTATAACACTGACGACGGCTGGAAATAACGCTGTCCGTCAAATTATGAAATGAGAGTAGATAAAGTGGTTGAGGGTGTTTTGTCACAAACCTATTCACTGAAAATAAAAGGACTGGTTGTATGGAGACATTATGGTGTACCGTAAATAACTGAAACTACCACGATCCAAGAACTTTGTGGGTTCGTGCTCAACACGTAAGAACCCTGTTTCACAACATCACCAGAGTTCTTTTGTCAGAAATAAGCTCCTTCTAAAAATACAAACTTCCTGAAAATGTTCTAATTTCTGTGGTCTAATTCTTGATTTCTAGGTTGTATCAGTCCAATATGCACTTTTTAAAGTAGTTTCTGATAAACTGTGTACTAGGAATGTTGAATCTGAAAGTAAGATCCTTATTTAATATTAGGATCTGGGTTTGAGAGTAAGATCATTATGTAATATTATATATGTATATATATATATGCATATTGAATTTTCAAGTGATCTGCCTACTTTGTAATTACACAGTTTGCAATGTAGTTGATAGGTAATTGAATGTGCATTAGTTCAGTGGTTCCCAAATGCTGGTCGGTGGACCGGTGCCAATCCACAGGGAGGTTTCAGTTGATCCACAAGACAGGTGCAAAAAAAAAAGTGTCTTTTAAAACACAGCTACTGAAGTATATTGTTGTACAATATATTTTAAAAAGTTAGTATTGTAGAAAACAGTCCACGAAAGTTTGGGATCCAAACTAGCTGGTGCTAAGTTGGAAAAAAAGATTGGGAACCACTGCATCAGTTTAAGGAGCAGAACCTTTATCATTTTAAGTGTTGGTGTAAAAGTTAAAATGTCGAATTAGATTCTTAAGTCCATGTGATTGGTGTGTATATGTGTGTGTGTGTTAGTAATTAGTTACAAGAGTAGTGACACGGAAAGAAATTAGCACTTAAGGAAAATAAAACTATCACGTTTCTCTGTGCGAATACTAATTAATTTATTTATGCAAGTATTAGGGTAAGTGTGTACATAATTAAATTAGCACTCACATGGAGAAATGCTCTACAGGTCTCCTTAAGTTAACATACAATTGTTATTGAAAACAAAAGTTATATCCTGCAGGAATAGGGTAATCACACCCACATTAAACATATTGTTACTGTTATAAAAAAACATTTAGTTGAAATACTGTTATTATACATTTTCAATTCTTGAAAAAAAACCCAAGGGACTAGATTAAAAATGTAATGTTAAAAAAATATAATAGGCCTAACATAATGTTTTGGAACAACATGGGACCTGTTGGTCCGTCTTGGTTGTTCCATCTTTTTAAACTAAACTTAAACTATTAATAAATACAACTTAAAGCCAGCCCTTCTCATTCATATCAACCTTTCTCTTAAAGTCGCTTAAAATTACTACCTCCACAACATTCAAAAGCAACCCATTCCATAAGCCAACCACCTTATGACAAGTATAACTAATTGTTTTAGTTTATTATTTGCACTGAGGCAACAATAATTGTAAATACAACACATGTTTAGACTGCTAGTAAGTAAAGTTGTCAACGAACATGTAACAACATATTATGCAGTTACATATAGCAATGATTGAGCACGTTTTTTTTTGTCAGAACAAAATGGATTAGCCTTTTTTTCTTCTTCTGTAAATTCATTCCACTCCCTTTAGAAAGCAATACAAACAATGGGGTTTTTCAATTAGTAGCATCTTCAGATATTGTATATTACCACTGTCTTAAGTTGAAAATAGAGTAGCCTAAAAATGCAATGTGATTTGACTGAAAGCCACCCCATCCCAAAAGGGATCTTTGGACAAAGAATTAAATCCACTTTGTTTTATTTTATACAGTTATTAATTGTTATGTAGATCTCTCACAGCATATGTAAAAGGTTAGGTCCATGTATCTTACACTTGAGGAATTGATCTCATTTTTCATCCACAGCTGTACTATCTGTGGGGAATTTAGTGGAAAGATTGTACTGCTGCCGTTGGCCACTCTCGTTACATTACACATTCTCCTACACTGCCCAGCCACCTCAGTATGAAATGGCATCACAGTCTTTTACACTGCCCACCAACTTGCCAAATCACTGTTGTACAAGAAGTATAGATAATTATAAATACTAGTTGCCCTGTTTAGCTGTTTTCGTAAGAGCTTCTTTTCAAGTTTTATCAATATTAGAACGATCCCCATATGAGCAAACATATTTAACATGAAGATAAATCTGTGATGTAATCTGCCCTTTCTCGGGCATAGCCTAGCGGAGGTTGCAATCTGAAGGTCCATTGCTGTAAAATCAAGTTCTGCACATTGGGGTTGCGAGTACTATACAAGAACGACGATGTCGACTCTCTACTTATTAGTTCAAAATTAAAGAAGGCGAGCACAGATAGCCTTCGTGTAGCTTTCTGCAGAACAAACTTCTGTTCTCAAAATATAACTGTGACCCGTTGAGTTTGTTTGTATCAGTGTCAGCTTTGAAATATATTCGTTAGAACAAAACTATTATGAGAAATTGAAATTATTTTTATTATATTTTGGTTTGAGTTGACAAAAGCTGCATTTGCAAAGTTATAAATGAAATTAATTTACAAAAAACTATATTATAAACTGTTCTTCAGTCCATTTTTTTAATTTGTAGAGCCATCTTCATAAGTTTGTACAATGCTCCCACGATAATTATTATTAATTTAGAAGCAGTTTTTTTTTAAGAATTATTTTCCATTCTCTCTCTATTAACTGCTGTGACAGATTTCTCTTGTAAAAATTAAATATCTTTGTAACATAATTGAGTAGATATCTTAAATAAAACTGACACATAAAAGGGTAAATGTGTTGGAAATTAAACTTTATATGTATATATAAAACACTTAGATTGATGTTAATATTTTTTACTCTAGTCATTTAGAATAGTTTTTTGTAGTTAACGGTTGCTTTAAGAGCAGTATTTTGGTTATTTGTATAATTTGAAATCCAGTTAAAATTTTTTTTATTAAATATAATAATACATATTATTATATTTACACTGCTCTGAAGAAGGTAAAATGATAAAAAAAAAGAAGTGAAATTTAAAGACAGCCATTGCAGTAAGTGACACTGCTAATGTAAATTGTTTATAAATTGTAGAATTTGAGATACTGAATACTTGTAGGAGTGGATATACTAGAACTACATTGTTACAATGCTTGGTGATTTGAGCTGTACATATAGGTCCAGCACATATTGAAAAGTTTTAATAACCTGACATTGGGAAAAGGTTAAAACTGTATTTCAGTTACTATAACGAAAAATGTATGAAATAAAAATAATTACTTATATGACAGTTATCCTTAAGTTTGTTTCTGTTGAATTTTGTTTTTAAATACATTCTTAAGGCTTTGTTTTACAGATTATATGTACGTGAAATGTTAGAAATGGAGTATCAAACTTATTTGTAAAAGATAAAACAATAAACTTTGTTAAATGTGTTATACTTTTTTCCTCTATAAATACCAACTGGTCAACTTTTGCCAGTACGCATTATTTAAAGTAACCACCAGTACTTAGTGTAACAAACAAACAAAGTACTGTGGAAAAAATCCTATTGTTAAACAGTTTTCCTGTTCAAAGGTTTACTAATACACAGCAGAGAATCGTATCTACTAGATTCTCAATGGAAACAGTTTTATGATCTGAATGTTTTGTGTCCGAAAGGGCTGTTATATGCCCTTCCCAAAAGCAATCCGTTTTCAGTGGTATCACGCTACATAACAAAACATATATGCCATTCCACCACAACTTCATGTTAAATGTGGTTGTCGTACGACTTACTGATTTGAATATTCAAAGTAATTTTTAACATACGCAAATCTGTGTGTGTAGTGAATGAATGTTATTAATCTTATTTAGATAAGTTCATTTTCAATATGATTTCAATGTTTTTTGTAATAGCGTGACTATCATCATTGTGTATTTGATTGGTGTTAGACCTAATGTTTCTACATGGTTAGGTTAGAATGTTATTTATTTTTGCAGCATTTAAAAAAAAACTGTTTTTAAAGCTTCCAGATGGCACTGAAGCAAATTCTTGAATTTGAAAAACCTGCTGATAGTTGCAAAAAGTTTTTAATGTTTGATTCAGTTCATTAGATAAAATCATTTAGAAACAATCAGATAAACTAAACTAACATAAGTAAAATACTCGTATCTCCTGCACCTCATAAGTCAAGACACTTTTTGCAATGGTGTCTTATTCAAAGAGCCAGGTGATTAACGATATTTGCTAATCAATTAATTGATGACTCTACTAACTGACTACATTTGATTAATCAATTAGTAAAGTATTCCTCAAACCATGGTATGTACAAGTAAAAACGTTGCCAGCCATTTGCCTTACCTATAGTCAATAGTTGAGAATTAGTGACTGACAGATAACCTTTAATAGCAGCTTTGCTACTACAAGGGCAGGGCAAGTTTGGTGGGAATCAAACCCAAAACTCCTGAATCACCAAAGCTGAGCAAACTTGAAGATAAAAAAAAAGAGAGCTTATAATGTCAAAATTGGAATTGCAGTGTTAAATAATCGATCTGTGTAATAATAAAAGAACACTAAATTTGATTAGTTCATTATTTTTGTTAGAATAAATAAGAACAGTAATGATTATAAACACTAACTTTAATTAACTGATTTAATCCAGTGTTTTCCAAACTTTAAATAGTGGCATGCCCCACAATTTTGATTAACTGTTTAATTTACGCTCATAAGTAATTAAATATATCAACTAATCAATTAAATTGGTACAGCTCTGCTTGTACAGAAGACTTTTTTTTTCCCACCTTTCTTATACTACAGCCACAATTGTTTTAGTAAAATCCTGACTGTTAAATTCCAAACACAATTCGACCTATAAAGGAAAATGCATAGGAGAAATTACCAAGTTTTGGCTTAGTAGATAATAATCTGGGGGAAAAAAAAAAGTGAAAAGTATTTTCAAATTGCATTCTGAAAAAGTTCGCAGTATACCGTTGCAAGCGTATTTTTATTCCTATACTCGTGATAATGTCGAAATGATTCTGCTTCTATTCATTTACTTGAACCTGTTATTGCAGAGACATTAGATTACGATTGTATTTCTTGGGTTAAGGCCTATTTACGTGGTTATTGTGTACATAATCTAAATTAATCACCATTCAGATTTGTTCTTTGTACAGGTAATTGAATCAAATCAAATTTTTTTATTCTCTTTTGACAAAAGTGGCCTTAAAATTCAATCATTCATTGTAATTAAAGTGACATCGGTTTGATTACTCACGTATCAAACACTACTTTCTTCTAAAGTTTGAGTCTTAATTTTTAAATCACACATTTAGCTAACGTTCTGTATGAATAAAATTAGAATATGACATTAATAACACGTGTGCCACTTTTTAAACTTCCTTAAACATTTCAATCTTGTTAATAAACATCTGCTTAAACAACTATACAAAAGTTGTAAAGACAAGTAATCCGAGAATACAGACGAGAGACAATTAAAGTCCTTATAATATTACAAACGTTACAGAAACAGTCATGCTCTCGTGAAAATAACTTCTATGTTATTTTGATATACGAAAAACAACTTTAAAAAAAATTGTGTCCTTTAATTGTAGATTCTATTAACGTATTTTGGCAATAAAGTTAAAACAACCTTTCCTCTCCAGATCATAACGAAAGTGCTTTTTATTTCAGCCAACGTTTCACACTTGTGGCTTCATCGGGGCTACCAGTACAAGAAACATTAGCTGAAACAAAAGTTTTTTTTTTCCTTCGACTTTATTGCCAAAGTATTAAATCTCTCTAGTAGGCACTACAAATTATGAAAAACATCAAATTTAGTAGTAGTTTATAAACTTCAGCAGAAAACATGTCAGATAATGAAATGATGTGAAAATGTTAATTTTTAGATTTAAAAAAAAAATATATTTTTTTCAAACCACATCTGGAATTAGAATATATTGGCAAAAGTGAAAAACGTGTAATCATGTTTAATGGAAGTAAGCTTATGGTTGTTAAGATTTAACATTATTACAAAACCTGAAAACAAAGTGTTATAATTTTCATATAACGTTTTTGTGTTGTATTTATGAAGTTACATAAAATAAAACACATTTGGGTTTAATGTAACAATAATTTACATTCAAACAACTTCAAATATTAAACTTTACCTAAATTATGACAAATTAAAACAGACTTACTTTACTAAAAATTAGCTTTTTAAATTCATATTTTAAAATTAATTATGCACATCAAATTACACTGAAAAAAAAAAAAAGTTTTGTAATTTTTGTAAACTACAAAATTCTTGTGTCACCAAAGTGTAACAACATTTTTTTTTACACCCTTTATGTAAATATCGTGACTGTTCTCACTGTCACACTAATGATGCCTCTGAGGTGGGTGAAATGTTTTCTTTTGTATATATATTGCAATTTATTGATATAACAAGTAATGGTATCCTCATATTTTTTACACTTTGGTGCATACAATGGGAATACAGGTTATACAACATTATATTTTGCTCATTCAAAATTATTTCAAAACATTTTTAAGGCAAAGAGACACTCGAAAAGGTTACTCTAGTGAATGAATTCCTTTAGGATAAAAATACTGATAAAAAGGGTGTGTACACTCACCCGAAAGTAGGTGATTTACGTGGCGCCTAATGTAAACCCTAAAACAATTACGTGACGTGCATGCCAAAAATTAACAATTACTCTAAATAAAAGTATGTTTCAAGCACTTTGCTAATTAAAAAATATTAAGTACTTTTAATTTAAATTGTACTTAGTTTTAATATTTCTGAAAACCCAAACAAACAAAACAACTTCTGCTAATACAAATGATATATCTATACACAATATCACTTTCAGCCTATAGCTAAGAGCTAATCACATTTTTCTGGTTTTTATAAGCAACAAAGCCTCACTCACCTCCACAACTTTTCTTGTTTATGTTTGATACAAAAATTGTACAATTACAGTATGTAAAATTACAATTGTTTTTCAAGTCAAAGCAGAATGTCCAAGTGTGTCTGTGTGCATGAAAAGAACATGATTAGTTTTAAAATAAAGTAACAAGCAGAACAGAATATAGCACGTTGGTTGAAAAACTTCCAGTCTTTGAGCACATACACATATATTAGAACATTTAGACAAATGCATATTTCTACATAAAAAACAAAACATCTTTACAGCTCATCAACAGAATCCCTTTGTTTAAGGTACACTTGTATGAATAATGCTCGTGCTGGCTAAAAAAAAAGTTTTTTTTTTTACTGTTGCATGTTCACCATAAGTTACGTGTTTTACGTTCCATCCAAACACTACACTAAAAACAAAGAGATTTAACTTCCCACTGATATAAATACCCTTTTCAAAAACGTAAGAAGGGAAAATAAGACCTTTAGCCTTACCTGTTATTTGTTACTGACCTATGTCACATTTTGCACATCCTTGTCGGTCTGTATACAAATCAAACAGCTAGACCCATTACGAGATCGATCAGTAATACCTTTCACACTATTCTCGAAAAGAAGGAAAATTTAGTACAATTTCTTTCCAAGACCCTTAGCTTGAATGTTAGTAGTATTTTTCAAACGGGCCTGATCGTTTATATACTAGTAACACTGTCTATGGTTTCTTTACATTTCTTAAGCTACATGTACTACAGAAAGATATCTAAATAAAACCTATCTTCCCTGTTGCCTTTTCATTCCTCGTTGCATCATTATTAATGAAAGGTTTTATTTTTTGCTCTGGCTGAATAATGTTTTTTAATTTATTCGTTTTTCATCTCAGTTGTTGCTTATGCTTTATTTTCAGCCTTGAACTAAGTAGTTTTCTCTTATTACAAGTAACTGTTGTAGCTATTTTTGTTACCGAAACAGTATTTAGACTATTGGTTCTGTTTGTTCACAGCATAAGTTCTATCTATGAAACTAAATGTCTATTTAACACAGTTTCTGAATATGCTTGAGAAGGCAGAGTTTTGACATGTGGATATTTAGCTAAACAAAAAGATACATGTGCAACTAAGAGTACACTAGACAACGTGTGTGTGTGTGTGTGTACCAGGTATTGTGAAAATAATTAGAAACCTAACAAACAACAAGTTGAACAGTAATTTTTTGTGGGTCTAATTAAAAAAAAAAACAATGGTTTAAAACTGTTTTAAATTCATTGGTAAACTGACTAAACAGAGCTGTCATGTATGATGAATTCTCCAGATAAATCTAAAGTTAAAGAGATTGATTCCAATACAACCTCATCGTGATATAGATGTGAAGGCAACTAACTTGTTTGTAACAGCATATACAGAAGAACTCAATTAACCCTGAGTTGAACCACTCAAAGTAGTATTTCATTGGCTCCTTGGCTGCACATAGCTTTTCCCACAATGGCATTCTTCTGTACATTTTCCATGACACCACCACCATTTTTCAGCAAAAGCTTTCCTCCATAAATATTTTGAAAAAAAAAAAAGAAAAGAAAGAGAGTAACCATATTTTGAGTCACCACACACTCACTGGTGAGACTCACACTGCAATAAGTGTGATCGTAAACTACATTTTGACGTTGCCCCCTGGTTGCCCGTCCACTTCAGTCCCTCAACAATATCCATTTCCGACTTTTCTTCTGGATTTTGTTTATCTTCAGTAACAGCAGCATGCTCTACAAGATCAGTTTCTTGAGCATCGACTCGATGAACGGGTGACTCGGTGTCGTGAGTGACTGAATACGTCGCTCCTCCGGCAACGTTCACCATACTGATAGGGCTGTAAGTTGGTGCATTCTGTAGACAAAAGCCGTCCTGAAAGAGTTGGTCATATGAGTCACATTATTAACAAGACTTTCAGAAATCGCTTCTTGAAGACTTGCAGCGTGGTCGTTTGAAGAATAAACTTTAAAAACAAAGCTTGTTTCTCAAAACCACCTCTAAGAACTTCTAAATTTTGCACATGCGAATGTATTATTTATTTCAAATTATGTGAACACTGTTTAACTGTAACTGGGTATAGCCATCATATTTCCCACTTCTTTGGCTTGAAACATCATTAATTAAATGTCAAAACATATTCCAGCCACACAGCTTTTTACTGTTCTTACCATTATAAAATGTTCAATTACATTTACATTCATTCAAGACAAAAGACAACATCAAAAATCAAGTAAACAATCAAGGTGATAACTCTTAACAAGGATAAAGAAAAAGAAAAAAGAGTTCATTATTGTAAATAAACAAGATTAAATAAAAATATGACGGGACACTACCGACAGGTACAGTTTTCAATTGAAAATAATCACAAGTTGTGGCCAGTTACCTGATTTTTATGGGTTCCTTCAGGAACTTTTTCTTTTGCTTGTTTATAAAGTCGATGATGGGCTTCTGCAATAGCCAATGTAGCTTGGTGAATTTTGCGATAAATTTTCTCCCCTTCCAACGTATGAAAGACAAACATACCCTCTCCAGTACTACAGTGCCTACAAAAAACAACAACAATATAATGCCTAACTTTCTTATGGATTTTCAAGCAGTTTTACCATTAACAAGCTTTCATAAGTCATTCATTATGAGGTGGTATTTTGACTTTACACATTAGATATGATTTGATGTAGTTGAGAATTTTCTCTACAGATGGTACTACACAGACAAATGGTTATAAGTACGAGTGAAAATTACCCAATACCTTTGTGATAAAAATTTTAAAAAAGGTAAGAACAGAAAACTAATATAACCAACTGAAAAATAATCTACGGCAATACTTAAAGCTGATATAAAAAAGATTTACCTGTACTCTACTTCAAGATCTAACTAATCTTTTGAAGATTACTGCTAACAATTTCGTTGACAATATGGACTAATGTGTAGCAATATTTTCCAAAGCGCTGGCAGTTACACTGTGTAATAATATTAACTTCGCTCTTAAAATAAATGATATCTATACAGCGTTTCTTACCATAACCAAGATATGACATCCAGTTTTAAGTTATATTTTCTTCTACAATTATTAAAAATTTGAAACTGTATTTCATTTAAACACCTGATTATAAGAATGCACGAGTGAAAGTAAAGGAGGGTATGTCAAACCACACTACATATGCTTACATCCAGTGCCAGTCATCACCACCCACCGCCAACTCTTGGGCTACTCTTTTACCAACAAATAGTGGGATTGACCGTCACATTATAACGCCCTCACGGCTGAATGGGCGAGCATGTTTGGTGTGACGGGGATTCGAACCCGCGACCCACAGATTGCGTGTCGAGCACCCTAACCACCTGGCCATGCCGGGCGTATCTGGTTAATGTCTCTGGTTAACACATACATGGTGTCATACAGGACCGTTGTCTCTTTGTGATGTATAGTGAATACTTGTAACTTTCTATCGGACATCAGAGTAACTGAATACCACATATATGGTGTCATACAGGACCGTTGTCTCTTTGTGATGTATAGTGGATACTTGTAACTTTCTATCGGACATCAGAGTAACTGAATACCACATACATGGTGTCATACAGGACCGTTGGGTGATGATGACTAGCTGCCTTCCCTCTAGTCTTACACTGCTAAATTAGGGATTGCTAGCGCAGATAGCCCTCGTGTAGCTTTGCACGAAATCCAAAACAAACAAACAATCCTTAGACCTAAAAATATGACATATTTGGGTGCAAAGGTCATCCTCGCAGGATAAGGGTGTAGCTACTGCAAGTTCGTTCATTGTATCTCTTTTCGCAGCTTTTGAAGTAATTCGTTTTAAAGACACGTTTAAAAACAAACTCACGGATCATGTTTTTCTTTTATAGTGTAGACGTTCTTATTGATTAAATGTTATTGAAGTTGTTGGTTAAACTTCTGCTGATACTATTCGCTGCAGTTGGCCAAAAAAAGATAAAATTCAACGAACATATTATTCGGCGAGTAATGATAGGACGAAGAATAAACTTGGTATATGAATATTTCATGATGACAGTATTTGTGGTGGCCAGTGAGCATATCTTCATTATTACTATACAATATTTCATCTTCAGGGTGAGTGATGGCATGGAACGTCGTGAAACGGAGATTATTTTGAAATATGTAAACCGCTGCTGTTACACTTACCTACAGCTGCACCATTTAAAATAATTACAGAAAATTTGTTGGCCGACGTCGCGTCCGAAATTCAAGATGGCGTAATTAGCCAAGTATGTTTCACCCACGCTTCTTTAAATATTAAATTACAGAAAACACTTAACGTTGACGTCGGTTGAAAACAGAATTTATTATAAAATATATATATAAAATACTTTGAAGAATTAAGTGCTGATCAAAGAAACAAATATCCATTCTTTACGTCTTTGCAACCCATTTTTTTATTGTATTATTATTATATTCTTTACGGTTGTAATTATATTTTCTTTGTATCTTCTTGCCCAGAAAATGTATCGATTAATTTGGTAAACTACGTTAATGTTTTCTTTTGTTAGCCTGTTTTCGTTTTACAAATATAACTTACTTAGAAACGGTCGTGAGTATCGTTATGTATGTGGTATTCAGTTACTCTGATGTCCGATAGAAAGTTACAAGCATCCACTATACATCACAAAGAGACAACGATCCTGTATGACACCATGTATGTGGTATTCAGTTACTCTGATGTCCGATAGAGAGTCACAAGTATCCACTATACATCACAAAGAGATACCGCCAACTCTTGGGCTGCTCTTTTTACCAACGAATAGCGGGATTGACAGTCACTTTACAACGCCCACACAGCTGAAAGGGCGAGCATGTTTGGTGTGACGGGAGGTCTAAGGACCAAACCGCCATTACTCCTCCAGTAAAGTATCAAATTCTGGTCAAATGGTTTTTTCTGCAGATTTTTTTTGAAAGAAAAAAAAGATTACGTGTACAGGCAAAGCTGTACTCCAAAATGAAATGTTTTATTCATATAAATTTAATTATAAGAAAAATATTTTTATTCTATAAATCGCATTTTAAAAATATTTTTTTTATGAAATCTAGGGCGTGACTAGTGGACCCCTGGAGGTCTGAAGACCCTAGTCTAAGAAACTCAGTCTTACAAAAATGTTATTTAAGTCAAGATTATTAATATATTAAAGTAATAAAATAAAGTAAAATTTAAATTAATGTTTGTTGAAAGTTTTTACGATTTCGTTAATGACATGGATATCGTGATTTGGAATCATTTGATCGGGTATGATAATCCAATAATCGAACACCAACGAAACTTTAGAGTGGGTGGAATTTTTGTTTTATCGCAAGTACACACGTTGGGCCACCTGTCCACCACAGGGAATTGAACCCCAAATTTTAACGTTGTAAGTCCATAAATCAATAAACTTACGGCCCGGCATGGGCAGGTGGTTAGGGCGCTCGACTCGCAATCTGTGGGTCGCGGGTTCGAATCCCCCCAAACCAAACATGCTCGCCCTTTCAGCCTTAGGATTGTTATAATGTGACGGTCAATCCCACTAGTTGCCTTCCCTCTAGTCTTACACTGCTAAAGTGGGGACGGCTACCGCGTGTAGCTTTGTGCGAAATTCAAAAACAAACAAACAAGCCCTCGTCTAGCTTTGCGCGAAATCCATAACAAACAAACAAACCATAAACTTACCACTGACCCACAGGGAAGCCCTCCATTGGGACAGCGATAAGTTTACGAATTACAACGTTAAAATTCGCGGTGGACACGGCATATTGTCCAATGTGGATCTACTCTAAAACAAACATATTGAATAATTTACTTTTTGTTCTGTTTCGTGTTATAATCAATAAAAAAATTAGGTGTAAAATGTATAGTGGAACCCGACTGTAGTTTGTATAATTAATTACAGTATTGATGGTATTTTGTATTATAAAAAAAAAAAGATTATTCATAACTATCAAGGATCGAACCTGTAACTAACGACGTCATGGACACAGAAGGTAATTCCGTGCACAAATAGCTTTCAAAACTTTACTGTATAAGCTGCTGAGATATGGACTCCATTGATAATTTTTAGGTTAACTGCCTGCACCCCAGTATGTCTGCGGACTTACAACACTAGAAAAAAGGCTTCGATACCCGTGGCGGGCAGAGCACAGATAGCCCATTGTGTAGCTTTGTGCTAATTTCGTGCACAGATAGCTTTCAAAACTTTACTGTATAAGCTGCTGAGATATGGACTCCATTGATAATTTTTAGGTATGCACCCCAGTATGTCTGCGGACTTACAACGTTAGAAAAAGGGCTTCGATTTCCGTGGCGGGCAGAGCACAGATAGCCCTTTGTGTACAAACAAACAAAGGTTAATTACCATTATACTTTTTCTACTGGGTAAGAAGGTATGTAGTGATATGCAGATATCACATACCCCCATTTTTAATTTCGTGTGGTAATTCAGACAGTTCTGGTTTATTTTCATACTTTGTTTTAGTCACAACTATTTGTGTAATTCCCGTATTCTTCTACTGGCCGCGATTAACCGTGGTTTCTGATGCTGTTCTGCTTTAGTTAATTACGTGCTTCTTTTTTGTTCGTTGTCACACACACAGGTTTGTTCCTTCATCTAACGGGCGACAAAACACTACCCTCCTTATTCTCCACTCAAAAAGCTTCCCATTGTTGTGGTGATTCTATGTTTCTTCTGATCTTGAAATAGTATAAGGATACAAAACGTAGCTTTTGAGACGAGACCTTTTCTTTGTTATTAACTTATCATTCTAATTTACAGTTCTTTTTCAGGGGCAAACTGGGAAGTTTTCCCCTGAAAAAGAAAGGCCCACCTTTCGAAAGCGCTCGGGTTACAGGGTTTTATCGTTTTATATTAAGCCTTCTTGAACCCACGTGTTTTCTGAAATCATGAATTCTAGTTAAAAGGTTAGTGTAAATTAAATTCGATCCTGTTAATGTAGAAATTTTGGGTATGATTTAAACTAATACAAAATTATATAAAATACATATGAATGAACTTAGGGAGGGGGGTTGGCATTATTTTTTTTAAGTTTGGTTTTGCTTTGTCGTAGCTGAAATATCTTTTGAGAAAGGTTATCGTTTGCTTGTGAATTTTGGGTTTAAAAGATTCGTGGGGTTTTACTGCATCAAGGTCTGATGTACCGTTCTCTTTATTATAAACTGATCATTTCTGGAGATGTAAAAGAAAGTTTAAATTTTCGATAATAAGCGACTTAATAATCATGAAATTTCGTGCCATAACTAGAAAAGTGTCCGAGCGTGGCCTGTGATGCACGTGCCAGAATATGGAACTTTTGTGGTTTGTATACTGTCTAAAAAAAAAAAAAGTCATCAGACGAGAAAGGCAACATTATCTCCTTGGTGCAAACATTCTCAGAGAGTCGTCATTGTTAAAATAAGGTAAATGTCGGGTTATATTGCCTATCCTCCACTTTTTGTTTTTCGGGGTGGGGGGAGATCATTCTTTGAAGTGTGTCGTTTCCTACATTACTTCATATATTCTGTGAATTTTATTTCTAAACAACATTATTTCCGTAAAAATCTTCAGATCTATTTTTTTTTTCTTTTTCCGGCTTATAACTCCAATTGTATCACTAACTCTCACGAGCTTCGAGGAGGTGCTTGCTGGCTGATTGTAACAGGAAATTGTAAAGCCATAACGTAACGTACAGATCGTGTGATTGTCAGTTCTTTTACGTGAGTTGTTTGATGATGAAGACATATTGCAAATATCATACATACGCTACACGCCAGATCCAAACGTCGTTACCTAGACAACTGTTGCTAAGCTACCCTTCTTCTTTGGCGTGCTTTACCTTCTACCTGGAGAAGGCTGACACAAGACTTGTGGGCAGACGATTACTGCTAATTCCCATACGATGATATATGTCACGTGGTTATACTGAGTTTATTCCCATCTGTCTGTGTGTTCTACTCGGTCTCTTATTGGCAGATACACTTCAAAGTGGTACACATAACAATCACTTACAAGGTGATCAAATCAAAAAATGAATATAGAGTTCGTTCTAAGAAACTAATAAAACGGTGAACGTTTCGCCGAAACGTCCTTCCCGGTGTGGCGGAATATAAAAATAGTGTTTGTCAGAGCACTTTCAACAAACATTAATTTGAATTTTACTTTATTTTATTACTTTAATA